TTTTTTTTCCCTTTTTTTTTTTTTTTTTTTTTTTTTTTTTCTTTTCAAATCCTCCCTTCCCCACTGCGCATCAATTTCATTTGCGCCCAGAATCCCCTGAGCTCAATAGAGGGTTCGTAAAAAATAATTAAAAAAAATATACACACAAATCTCCAAGCAGGATGCGTTACGTGCGCGCGCATCTTGGTACGTTTAAGGGTCGTGCGTTGAGAAAGAGAAAGAGAAAGAGAAAGAAAAAACTAAATAAAAGAAAGCCAAGGGTTAATGCAAATAGCAATTGCGATGCTCGTCAGGGCGCTAGGGGTGAGGGGTTCTCATAGATGCAGATTGCCCGATTGTCTTGGGACTCTTTTTAGGCAGTTTTTTACTCTCCCATCCTCTTCGCCCCAGAGCGGAATGGGCCCGCCGTATGGGGACAGCGCGGCGGGCACATACGCGCGTACGTGAGAGTCTCACGGACATTTGCATAGCACGGATTATTTAAATCATTTTTTATTGTCAGCCCTTCTTGTTTTTGAGGATCTTGCGGGTCGAGACAACCGACGGGAGACAAGAGCGGATTGAGAGGAAGGGAAGGGGCGACGGGGAGAGGCGCTAAGGGCTCCTAGAGTTCCAGGCAAGGGATGCGCCCCGCTCGCAGGGAATCGCAGGGAATCGCAGGGAAACGCAGGTTCCGCCGCTCGTGGATCCGGCCTAAGCCCCGTGAACTACCTCGGGTGCCGGTGCACGCAGCGCCATTCACATGATAATTCGCTGCTCTCGAGAGCCTCGAGGACCTCCTAATTTTATCTTTAACGAAACAAACGGTACTTTCAATCTTCCCATCAAAATCTCCGATCGAACTGGAGACGGATAGACGGAGGCATCGGTGGTCGCGTGTCTTGGGCGGCAGCCTCCTGGACGTCGTGAATATCGAGTGAGGTCGAATAGGAAAAACAGGTAAACGCGCTGGCGACAGAGTAGCGACTCGTCGTTGTAGCCGAGTCTCCTGGTGGCCTCAGCTTTTCAATGGGAAAAGCGCCCGGAGCCAACTAATCATCAGACTCCCGAAGCAAAACCGATCCAGAAAATTCGATTAGCTTCGCGACGAGCACTCGATAGCTGTAAATAAATAAAAATACGAGAACGACCGTGACGGCGGCCGAGAGAACCGAAGAAAAAGGTGGAAAGAGACGGAGAACGAAGGATCCACACCGAGGGGGTTGAAAAAGGAAATCACGAGGAGAGATTAACATAATGAAAAAAAAAAAAAAAAAAAAAAAAAAAAAAAAAAAAAAAAAAAAAAAAAAAAAAAAAAAAAAAAAAAAAAAAGTGAAGAAAAGAATTTCCATCAAAGCTGCATTCTGTGCATCGATGAGAAGTGCGTCGATCCGCGACCGACCTGATTCAAAGCAGAATTCCCTGGACCAGGAGGGAGGACGGAAGGCCCGCAAGGTTTCGGGTAGAAAGGAAGGAAAGGAAAAAAAAGAAAAAGAAACAAGGACAAGGAAGAAGGCGACGCAAGCAAATCGAAATTTGGACGGTGCCTTTGGTGGGATGAGTCGGGAAAGGAAGAACAAGTGAGAGAAGGAAGGAGGGAAAGACGACTGGGATGCTGCGCCCGGGAGCCGCTAGCTTCAAACGGGACATGAAAGTCAGGAGGAAACGCGTTAACCTCCGCAGGAGGGTGTCAATGGAGGTTGCAATGGGTGTCTCCTGACAAGAACGCAACGCATGCACGGGAACACTCTCTGGCAAAGGAAAGCCCCGCGCGGGCCGGTGCGTGATGCTGCGTGCCATCCCGAGATGCACTCTTACCAACCGAAAACCGGTACGGAGCAGTGCGGTCCATTGCGAAGCAGCACCGGTATCTATTCAAATGAGCAGCGGCACGTACTTTTTTCTCCACTTTTTTCGAGTTTCCGTTTTTTTCTTCCCCCTTCATTCTCTCTCTATACCCGATCGTCCCCTGCACCCCAGCGACCCCTTCGCGCTGCACCCTTAACTCTTTGCCCGGTTCCTCTTCTCCTCGGAGAACCGCGTCGTTGCCCGGCTGCTGGTCCGTGCGGTATGCAAAACGACCTTCGACCCTTCCGTGCCCCTTTTTTTTTATTCATTTTTTTTACTTTACTTCCACCAGGATGCGCGGTCGCACCTAATCCTAGGGTTGTCTCCAAATTATGCAGCGGATCCGAGAGAGAGAAAGAGCGACATAGAGACAGGGAGTGGAGCATGGAAGAAAAAAAAACAAAGAGAAAATGTAAAAAAGAAAAAACGCGCAAGGGAAAAAAACAAACATAAAAACAAGGGTTAACCCGTTCCTCGGCGTTCCAGGCTTCTTTCAAAAGATGCAAAAAGATTTCCTACTTCATCGCCGCGTAACGGTATATCGGACAGCAGCGCGCGCCTTCCGGACGCGCTTTTCTTTTATTCTGCCAGCTTCTTTTTTTCTCCACCTTCCACTCCGAGCCCCGCCCGATCTTTTTCATCGGGCAACCTTCGCCTTTCGATCCGCGCACCTACCGAATCGCCTGAGAAACCGTTCGAGCGATTGGGACACCGCGAAATCGCAATGGCGACTAGTCACGTGGGGATCGGCTACGTGCCCAGGCGCTATGCAATATAACGGGTGACGCACGCGGCTAGGGTCGCTCCTGCCCACTTCCGGATCGTTCCTATTTACTCGATAGCAAAGTGCCCGGAGGTGCCATCCGGGACGTGCTTAGCTCCTCCGCACCTACACAGCAAGGAACTCTCCTTGGCCACGTGCTGCGCCGCTAATTTGTCGTTCGCACCGGACCGGTTCGCGTTATATGGCCGCAGTGGCGAAAGCGGAAAGATTATTGGGCTCCGTTCAGTCGCTCCCAGCCAAGACGCACACGCGCACGCGGCACGCGTTTCCAGTGCGACTGCCTCTTGCGCTTTTGCAATCCCGCGCGCGAACGAAAACGTTTAAACATTTCAACGCGCGTTCATGCGTCACGCGCTTAACGCGGTAACTTTCTTCGCAGGCTGTACTCGAAGCAACAAGCAGAGATCAATTAAAGACTCACGTCACTGGAGATCCCATTGTTCCAGGGATACGGCGCCTGCGGTGGGGAGTGCTGCTGATGATGCACCGTGCCAACCCCTGCGGCCGAGTGAGGGTTGTGAATGTGTTCGGCCATCACGCTGACCCAGTGGGCCAGTCCTCCGCTTCCGGTCGACGCACCTCCGGTCCCGCCAGTTCCAGTTCCAGCTCCGCCGCCTCCTCCGGCGCCACCTCCTCCACCGCCGCCTCCGCCGCCTCCGCCGCCGCCGCCGCCGCCGCCTCCGCCGCCGCCCTCTTCGCCGCCCTCCGTCCATGCGAACGAAGCCTTCTGCAAGTAAACGGTTGGAGGATACTGCGTTAATTGTCGTGGCTGCTCTTATGGGCCTTAAGTCTAGATGGGAAATTGGGAGTCTGCTGGGGCTGGACCGAAACGGCGCAGGTGGATCGGGGGGAAAAGGGGGCCAAGTCACGATTCTACGTCCCGATCGTCTAACCTCGTCGTCGTCGTCTCGACGAAGAGCTAGATTCCTGGGGAAGGCCGGGACGCTGCTCACTGTCAGTCCCTTGAGGTCCTTCAGGTCCTTGAGGTCCTTCAAGGCACCGAGGGCATTTAGATTATCCTTAAGATTGGCAAGATTGTCCTTGAAGTTGAGATTCCGATTGAGGACCGTCTTGCCGAGCACCGCACTCGCCAAGAGACTCTTGTAGAGATCATTTGGCAGAATGAACTTTTCATCTCGCCTACTGCTGCCCTCGTCCTTGCTCGAGGCGTCGTTCGAGGAGTCCGTGTCCACCTCCACCGAGGAATTCGACACGACGCTAACCGTAGACATTATTCGTATTATTACCAGTCGAGCCTTCGCCTCCTCTTATCGTCCAGCCTTCTGTCCTCCCTCGACTCGCTCATTCGATTCGCGAGTCGCCGCCTTTTTTCGCGGATTTTGCAATTTCGTTGTGATTGCGAATTCAAGCAAATCTGTGCGCACAGGTTAGGAGCGAACGCACAAATCGCCAATGTCAGGAGCAAGAGGCTACAAAGATAGAGGATCGAGAGGACACGTAGGAGCCTTTAGCCAAATATTCTAAGAGATCTTCGCCTCTGCTCTCCTTGTATCCTTCTCTCGATATACGTCTATATAACGTATATGTATAAAAGTATATGAGTCCTTTGGCTGGATGTGTATATATAGAGATTTATGTTTATATATATATAGAATATCTTTATATCTGTTTACTTATCTAGTCGCGTTCGTTAGCGCTCTTTAAAAAAGTCTAACGACGTTAGGATTGCTTCTGTGTTTTATTTTCCAAGGAGGACACGCCAATTTTCCTCCTTTGTTCTTCCGTTCCCTTTTCTTCCTTTTCGCTGCACCTCCGCCTCCCCCTAAGGATCCTTCTTCAAGACGTCCTTCTCTGGCTTTCCAATTGCAGCCCAGGCTGCGTCGCGAGCTTGTTCTTTACTTCTTATCCTTCTCTCGCGGATTGATCTTCCGTTAATCCGGACGCATGGTCCTTGAGGATGCTGCAAGGAGGAGCGAGAAGAGTGCGTGTCCCGGACTCTTTAAATAATCAACTTCAACTGTCTTACAGCTGTCGTTGACGAATGCGAACTGGCAGGGCTGGCGGCGGGGGTGTAGCGCGAAAGCTTTGCGCCCGTCGCTACTCCAGCCTCCAGTAATTCCAAGGCGACCAGGGACGACTCGCTAGACCCTTTATCGTAAGCTATCACTAGAGTATTATTAAAATTCAAAAGTACATTTGCATTAGGAACTTTTTCACGCGCAGCTCATTACGCAGGGCCGCTTCTAATTGGCCGGCTAATTGTCGCGGGAGATTCTCCCGGCCACGAGGTTTAAACGTGTAAATTCAGACACCTCTCCCCTCCAGCACCCCTTTCACCCACTCTACCTATTTCATTATGATCTCGCAGCTCTTCCTCACTTTCACTTGATTCTCCCTTATTCTTAATGGTCCATTCGCTAGCACCGCAACCAGAACCAGAATCCCCCTTCCCTCTTTAAACTAAGACTGTGCTACCGTGAAAAATAGGAACTTTGGTTGCTCGTTAATAATCTTTCGAGAGCTTGCTTCGTGTTCCGGGTTCGCGGCTCTTTTTTTCTTTTCGGAGGACAAACGACCCTTTGAGCAGGATGTTGCTCTAGTAATTTCTTATTTTTTCATCTATTATCTCTTTCTTCCTAAGACTTTCACCCTCGCTTCGCCCCCTTCGATTTCAGGCTAATTCAAGTGCACGTTTTCACGAATAGTCAAGAAATGGACCCTCAGACAGCATCCACCGTCTTCGAAGGATCGCCGGGAGTCTCGGAATCCATTAGAGTGCAATAAGATCCTTCCTGCATCTTGCATAGTCCTTTTACGATTCCTCGCCCCTCCGGGACGACGATCCTTTCGTGCCAGGAGCCAACAGTTGCGGGAACTCTCGGGATCGCAGAAATTCTCAAGAGGATCTGGTCCATAGTATCGCTCGATGTATCATTCCTCGCGTTACTTCGTATCCCTCGGTCAGGCTGACATTGGACTTCCGGTTTCCTCTTCTCCTCCAGCGGCGTCCCTCCCCGTTCGCTCTATTAGTAGGCGCGCAGGTGGTCTCGCGTAACAGCCGTCAATGGACACTCGCGTACGCGTCGTTACGTTGCGTCGTTACGTTACGTCGTTACGTCGAAGCGTCGCGAAGGCCGAACAGAGCGCGCGCGACTCTGCTCTCGCACACAGTTAAGGGGCTAAGCCGTAAGAGATGCCGAACACGAGGGTTTGCGAGTCGGAGAATGACCAACGAGGGGAGCCAGGTAAGGGTACAGAATCCGAGGGGCACGAGGTACTTGGCGTAAAGGGTGAATGGCTGAATGGGTGAACGGGTGAACGGGTGAACGGGTGAACGGGCGAATTGGTGAAACGGAAGGGCAACTGCTCAACGGATGGAGGGGGCGCAATTGGCACTGGGACTGGAACTGTCACTGACACCCTGGCACCAAGGGCAGCACCGGAGAGCGGATGCCAATAGGGGACGGCAGAGAAAATCTACGGGATGGTATTTCGCGAAGACTCCGGAGCACAAGGAGCGAGAGACGGAGAGTGACTCGCGCGGGAGAGGATGAAGATGCAGAAACCGGCAGGGGGTGAGAGAGGGTGAGCGGATGAGGATAAGGACGAGGACCAGAAGGACCAGGAGGACCAGGAAGAGGAGGAGGAGGAGGAGGAGGAGAAGGGGAGGGGGGGCGAGGGTAGGAAGAGAAGGAGGAGGGGTTCCACTGTCTCTCAGTCCCGTGTCGGTCAGCGATGCTGACGGATCTCCCGCGGAGATCCCGGCTCTCTCCGGGTCTCTCGGTCGCTAGGATATTTTTCTTATGAGAGAGCGCGACCGGGCGAACCGCGCGACTGGTGATGCAGTCCGCGGCAGGGCACAAGGAAGCGGAAGCCGCCGCTCTCCTCGCTTCCAAGGAAAGGCGCACGCTTCGCCGCATCTTTTACTTCCTTTTTCCCGTCGACGGCGGCGGCGGCGACGGCGGCGTCGGCTACAGGCTACGTTGAGGGTGGAGGGAAAGACGGTGCTCGGAGGGGGGGGAGGGAGGAGGGTTAGATCGGGTCGGGGAACCAAGGAGAACCAAGGAAAGAGAACGAGAGAGAGAGAGAGAGAGAGAGAGAGGGTGGCTCTTTCTTCCCTTAGCGGAGCTGCAACTGGCGCGATAGGGGAAGCAAGGGGAATGAGAGTCGAGTAGAAATCGAGGAAAAAGAAAAGACCGCCGCTCAGCCCGCGAAGAAACAGATAAATATAGATATTTTCGTTGGCGCGGGCGAATTGGAAAAATGGAAATAATAAGAAGGTCTCTGGGAGGTTTCGAGGGGGTTGCAGGTCGAGCTGGGCGGGAGGGGGGTGGTTATATGCCGCGCGCATTGCTATAGCGAGAGAAGGGTGGCTGCGCGGTGCAGCCTGCGCTCGCCTTCGCTATAGCCATTCGAAGAGTCACCCCTTGCAGTGCCGAGGGGGTGGCCAGGGGGTGGCGAGGGGGGTAGCACATCGATTCGCCTCACTGTGTGAGGAACACACGTGAGCCTTTGCTCTCGCTATAGTCGGAGGGTGAAACACGGATAAACAGCGAGAGTGAGAGGTGGAAAGAAAGGAGCGAGAGAGAGAGAGAGAGGGGGGGGGGGGGG